AATTCTATAGAATAGAATGATTCGACTGCCACTGCTGGATTAAGCGTGATTTAGATTTGCAACTAGAAATGTTGAGCCATGGTCAGATGACACTAATATTTATGGCTGCTGTGCAAACTGTCTAAAAAGCATCATGCTGTGGATTTCTGTTTCATCGGTTAGGAAACAGAAGGAGATAAAATTTGTTAGAAAGCATCTAATGAAAAAAACATTTTACCAGGCTACAAAATACTTTAGAACCTGGTGAGAAACCTAACCTTTCAGGAGTACAATAGCCCTAGACATATAAATAAACATGGAACTTTTCAGATTTGTTTTTGTAAAAAACCTAAAAAAAACTATTAAAACCATGCATAATTTTCCTTCAGTGTCCTAGTTTTTGTCAGCCTATTATGTCAAATCCCAACTTGTTGTATACTGAGAGAAATGCGAAGAAATTTACAGGATACAAATAATTCTGCAACCACAGATGATATAAAGTCTAAGAAACCACAAGAGAGACTTATTCAAATAAAGCAAGCAGTAATCATAAAAATTACCATCTTCCCGGCTAGTAAAAAGCAAAACTGTGATCTCCTGCTGCAATACTGGCAACAACTAAGATTTTAAAGTACACGTTAGTGTCAATGCAGACCATGGCAAGAGACTGGAGCCAAAAGAATTTGGATCTTCATAAGTCAGTCAGAAGAAACATGGATATCTAAGCTGCAAAAAAGACACAGCAGCTAATAGGATAGATAGGTTTCAATCAAAATCAATACTAAAGGATTAAAAAACCCTTTGGGAATCCACACCCACCATCAAACAAACCTAATTACACCCCATGCGCTAAAATGAAACATGAACATAGAGAGAAAATGATATCAAAAAAGTGAGCAGAGGGAACAAATCAGCATAGTGTAAAAAGACACAGAAGAGCAAGGGGAAAGAGGGAAATAAAATTAAAAAAAAACTCTGGCATCACATCCTAAGAATGTCAGCAATGAGCCTACAGACTACATCCCAACATGTTAGAGTCAAATTCAGGATCCCATCAAGACCTATAGCAAAAGAGGGGAATAAATGAACAACTGAATGAAAGAAGGGGGGCAAAATGACAATCCAATAAGCATCTTTATTCTATATCATATGATGCAATACCACAAATTGTTTTGAAATTGTTGCGTGCAGTCAAACATTTTCTCATTTAAAGGGAAAATTACCACACATAGAAAAAAAACAGAGAAAAACATAAAAGTGGAAATGGAGGGAAAAAAAGAAAACAAGAGAATCAGAAGGAGAAACATAAGACGTGTTTTACTGCATACCTCAAACTGGGTCGCTACGAGTACAGCAGAGATCTGAAACACATCTGATCTGGAACGGCCCAGGTTATGGAGAGAACTGGCCAACAATGGAAATGCATGGCTTTTTGATTCACACACGGTACCTCACACAAGACCACAATAATAGAAATAAGAAAAAAAACAGAAAAGAAAAATATATATACATTTCAAAACAAGATGAAGAACAAATACAAATACATTTGATAGAATTCTGCGCTGTACAAATGTCCTTAAAAAAATGCACAAGGGACAGTTGTCTGGGGACGACAGACAAAAAGAGACTATGTGAATCGAACAACAACAACGTACACAAAACGAGTCTGTAATGCAGCTAAACAACTGGCGGAGCAGACTAGTCCAGTCCTGTCTCCTCACTTGTCTCTCATTCTCCCTCCTGCAGCCTCCACGGTTCTATCTTATGCTCTTTTCCTATGATCACAGGGAGCATGTTACAGCAGCAGTAATAGCACATGACAAGGTGACCTGTGCCCCACACAGGATGGGCTAAACTGGGGTAGAAGAGGTGCTGGGGAGGGGCCAGGGCAGGGGACGGGGGGGTTCATCATGTCCCGTGTCCAGCCCTATGGTCTCTACAGCCCCCTTCACACCCCCCACAACGTTCAAACACCCAGGCTCCGCTGCTGGCCAGCAAAGGGAGAGGGGAGGCAGTAACGGCAGGCTGCCCCCTTTGTGCTGGGCCCCTTGCTGGACTCTGGAGAGGGGAAAAAGACAAGGCAGGGAGAGGCCCGCTCAAACACACACACCAAAAAGTCCCTTTTATGTCAGTGCCGAATATGACAAAGAACGCACATTTTATAACACGCCGAGTTCAGCACACAGACCCCGACAGAGAGACGTGGTCATGTGGCAGGTGGGTGCAAAAGCACTTAGTCCAAAAGTTATGTAACCCTCCATAAAACACTGTCTCTTATTCAGAACATACTTTTCATAAAAACAAACACACATTTAGGACACAAGTTATTTACAAGAGGTAGATTTTAAATTATTTTGGTTTTGTTAGGTAATAAGAAAGGCATCTCTAAAAAGAAAAAGGAGTATTTTTTTTAATCTATTTTAATTACTTTTTATTATAATCTCCACATCTTGTCATCAGGGGAATAAAATGTTGTGGGTTTATCTATGTTTGATTACACAAAATTGAAAAGACATTAAATATTTCCATGACATAAACTGCCCTGTTTGTTCTCTGAGAATATTTTTGGCATAACTTGAACTTCTGTGAAAACATATGCCGCCAGTTTGATTTATTCTTGCCAGAAGCATTTAACCACAAAAGGTAATTGAAAACATAAAGACATTAGGAGGAACTTAACACGTCGTTAGTTTCAAAGCAACTGAACAAATGTGGAAAGCTACACACAAGCACATAAGCAGATTACACAGGGTCTTTGCAGTTACGTTAAGTAGCGTCATATACTATACTACGGTCACATGTAGAATGAAGCAACCAACTACAGTAAATTTTTTTTTTTTTAAAAAGCACACAAAAAAACAGGAGTAGGCAGTGGGAGGAGTGTTTAGGTGTTTCTATAGGCTGTACCATCTCCAGCGGCACACTGATCTGTAAACAATCTGCTACAACTTGATTGAAAAGTACAGGGTCTCCCTGTTATGACATCTGAGTAAACGTTTACCTCAGTCTGATAAAAAGAAAATGATCTGTACTCCAGCGACCGCTTGGTGATGAATTCAGTTTCAATGGTTACCCGAGTTTAAACTTTGTTTAAGTCAAGGTAAGTGTATTTGCATAGCACATTTCAGCAACAAAGCAGTTCAAGTTAACACTTAATTTATGTGACACAAAAGTCAGATTCAATTCACCTTATAACATGTTCATAACACACCAAGTAATCCAACAGTGGGTAAATAGTTTGGAGTCGAAAAACATTCCCTAAATCTTTAAATGTATCAACAAAACAAACTAACCAGCTTGAAATGAGCAAAGGAAAATCCCCCTGCTGCCACTAATTATGTTTAATCCCTTCACATTTACTTTCTAACTCTTGAGCAGCTAAGTGTGATGTTGTCTGTATCTCAAATAAAAAGAAAAGGCTTTGAGCAGATATTGATTATTCATCATAATCAACAGTGGCAGGATTCTGCAGTGGCAGGATTCTGCAAGACTGATAAAGTGATTGCAAACAGCAAAGTACATTCGGTCTGTAACTGTGGCCCAGATATCACTTTCTTCTCAATCAACCCAAGAGAGGCCAGTGAGAATTGCGAGGAAATCATTTTGTAGAACACATTGGTACAAAAAGTGGCACCAGAAAGAAAAAAAAAATCTTTACAGAATGTATAAGTAAAATCAAATCAAAAATCTTTCTTTTGATTCGAGCTACAAATAAGCTTCTTATTTAGATGGATTTGATTAGCAAATCTTTAGTTAAGCCTGGAAGTTACAAGACAATAATGCCTTTGTCCTTTATCTTCAGGGAGTGACATAACCCGTCCTTTAGGTTTTTGGAAACTTTGCAAGAAAAAAAATTTATTCCCATTTTTCCTTTTCTGAAAGTATGTTCCATCTATAGTTTCACTGCACTCTTGGTGTGTTTAATATCATTTTAAAATAGTTTATTATTTTTGATTTAAAACCTCTACTAGAACTTTTTTTTAACTATTTATGCCTTTTTCTAAAGACTTGGTGCTAAAATTGTGGTACAAATATGACTAGAATTTCAACTTCCTGTGTGGCACTTTGTAGATATAAGACATTTCAAAGTAAATATGAACAAATTAATCCTCATGCAGAGCTCAAAAATAACCAACAGACATGTTGCTCTTTCTTCTTTTCATATGCAACTTTTTAAGAGGTTTTGCTAATAATACCTACTACTCTAGTGTTTCCTTGACCTTTCAAACCAGCGTTGTCTTTTTTATAGAGTAATAGCGCGGTTTAGCTGCTTTTCATTTACTTCCTTAAATAAAAAGCCACTCAGCAATTTCCTATATAGTTAACCATTACACTTCTTACTTTTAGGGCTCAGAATTTAAGTTCTGCACCATGGGACAATCTTGCAGCAATTAACCAAATTGTACTTGCTGTACGATTTGAAAATGAAAGCAGACTTTTCCCTCGAAGCTGATTGTTAGAAAATGTGTCCATAAGACCCCAATAAATAAAAACCAACTAGTAGGAGTTATTTGGGTTTCTTCAAGCCATAATCTGTCATGAGACAACTGTCCAACACAGGGATCAGGACCAAAACAAATGAAAATAGAAGTAAGTTGACATACGGTGTAGAATTAAACTCAATAATACATTAGATTTGAACATACCACAAATCATTACCACAACATATAATAAATTAAGTACACAGGTATGAAATGGGCTCGTTTACAAATACAAAAAGATAGAAATGGCAATGTGTTGGTGAAAAAAAATCGATGTTTCAATTGAGTAAGTCTTCACCTTATTTAGCTCATTAGGGTTGTTTTTTTTTAGTGCGTCATGTTATCAAACGCTTCCGTTTTTTTTTTTCTAAATCTAATTCTAGTTAGTTTTTTGCAGTGATTAGGTCTGAAAAGTTCAGCATAACTAAGCAATAACACGTCAAATACACACATAAGAACGTTCTCGCAGCGTTGCAGCCCCGCATGTCCGATTTGTGAAGACTTGAAGAAAGCAAAAAAGGAGAAAAGAAAATGTCTCACCTGGGGTTTTAGCATGTCCTCGCGCTGTTTGTAAGACTCTCTCTTCGCCTTTCCCAGGTTGTTAATCCTGTTTGGTAAAAGGAAAAAAAAAAAGCAAAAAGCAAAATGGTATGTCGCAAGTCACTGAGTGTTGCCTTTACCCTCGGACCTGACCTGCAGTCACTCTGTTTATGTAACACTGAACTATTTTCAACAGTAACATACACACACTGAAGTGATCTTACGGCGATCAGGCAACTGCGTAGGTAAACACACTGATGAAAAAAAACAACTCTTGGACACATGTTCCTCGTAAGCTATGGGGGCGAGTGAAAAAAAAATCACAATAATTCAAACCACGACTTGAGCATTCCTTCAGTGCCTGCGAGTTTCATACCTCAGCTCAACTTTTCCCCATGAAGACCGTGCAGCTTTTTAATCCTCTTTAGTTGTGGTTCGTCGTCTTTGTGCTTTTGCAATGCCTGTCCCCCTGCATACTGTGCCGCTTACGAAAAGAAAAACAAAAAACAAAAAAACACGACCACGCTACGTACGGTACACTTCAAGAAATGTAGAAAAGACTTCCGACAGAATACGTCAAAACTAGAACGCCCTTCCAGGCGCTGGCACATATACACACGCATATACACACGGGGTGGGTTGTAGTAGCTAGCATTAGCGTGGCTAGCTGCCTGCTTTAACCCTCAAGACGGCTGAGACTTCGGCCGGATAATAAACTCCCAACCGACGAACACGGCAAACGGGTAGATACCAGGCGAAAACACAGAAAACTCGAGCGCACCTGCAGCATTCCGACAAGAAATAGACTAATCCTCCTTCCACTGGACCCAAATAGATGGCCATTACTTTTTGTTTTGCACCGCCCCTCCTCCTTTCGCTCTCTACGGGGGAAAAAGGGATTTTCCCCCTCATAGCCAATCACAGCCCGGCGTGGTGTGAGTCCTGTTTCTTGATTGGTGGAGTTTGTTGTCAAGCTCCCATCTGATTGATCGGATCAGGTGCTCGTAACACAATCGCCGCCCCGTCAAACAGGGGTGTGTCTTTACGTCAGAGGTAACGAAGAGGTAAACAACTTTGACCGCGTGAGGTTTAAAGCAACATGGGTACACCGCTGATCTCTGAATCGGTGACAGATCTAAAGCGCGGATTACCATGCTCACGCTGCCAGCTGTGCTGCTGCTTCGTGGGTCGAAATGAACAGTTTCAATCAGTCTTTGTGCGACCATACGCAGCAGAGCGGAGAGTCTTTGTTTCCATTTGCATCCGCCTTGGAAATTCAGAAAACCCCATTGCAACAGCAATTGTCATCACGCAGTTGAAACCTTAAGCCCCAGAGATGCCGAGGTCCGCGAGTTTTATTTAATGCTTCATAAATATTTTTTATGTCTCCTTTGTTTTCTCGACAGTTTTAAATGTGTGCGGCGAGGTGTGCATATTGTAGGGGTGTGTCTTCTCCGCAGTACGGTGGTAGGCTGGATCCAGGCGATTCAGTCGCATGGCGATGCTGCTATGCATTTGCTTGGCATGAGGAAGAGCTGCGGAGCTGACATTTAAAATGAGATCAAATGCGTTTTCTCGCCACCCTATGGGTTTTGGTTTCACATTGTTTTTATTCGCATCTCGGATATATGGCTATAATGAGGGTGTAAGTTTGCGGGTGTGTGTGGTGCGTGTGTGTGCGCATAAGCACTTGATCATGGTGCAAATGAAGCGATCAAGATTCAGAGGGGTGCCAGTGTTCCTCTATTAGGTCTTTGTGTGTGTCGGAAGTACAGCTAAAAACATTGGTTTGCAAATTAATTACTGACTTTCACTGTTTAAAATTCAGTGGTGTTAGAGAGAACTGACAGCCTGGACTCTTTCTTACATGTTTGAATACATTCTATAACATATCTTTGGCATATTTTTGGCAGATGGTTTACTTTAAGCAATATGAATCAAGCGATTTAAAAAGCAGAACAAAGCTAAAGAACATACATTTTCTCCAGTTTTTCAGTAATGAGATAGGAATGCTTAAAATGACCAATAGGCATATTAGAGAAAGATCAAAGGATTCTGAAAAAGGCTTGCCCTGTATGAATCTTAGACATTTAGTCTGAAGTGCTCCCTACTGCTAACAAGAGAGTTTAACTATGCCAAGATTTAAACATCTGTCTGAGGCTTTCAGGAAGAGGGTTGTAGAGCATGTATGTCTGGAAATTTATAGAGGTCTCAAAAGAAAAATCAGTCCACCTTCCCAGTATGACCTGGTCTGGCCCTCCAAGCAAGTTCACAAATCATTAGCTCTTTGGTTACAAACTGAAAAGAAATAAAGCTGAGAGTAAAACTAAAAGCAAAAAACCTGAGATGGGTTACCATTAAAGCTTTTCACAAAGATAGAAAATTAGTAGGAAAACCTAGTTTTGTTGCGAAGGACCTGTTTGACTTTCCAAATAGTGTCCTTTTCAGCTGGTTCTGCAGTCAACCGCAGCGCTATCAAAGTAGTTACAAAATCTGGGGATTTAGCCAGCTTATAAGAGAGGTTTCTACATGTTCACCACGAGTTTCAGTCTTTCTGGTGAAGAGAAAACACCACTTTCATCAATTCATCCGGCGTGTGAGGGAATAAGTTGGTTTTCTGTACAGAGAACTGCTCACCACTGAGCATTCATAATTATTTTTAACACAGTGCTATGCTCTGAGCTCATAATCTCAGTGAGTGCACCCAGAGTGAATAATGCAACAAAAATCCCAAATCTGCACTGATCACACCAAGGCTCCAAAGTCTCAAGTTGGTTTTAATGGGTCGCAATAAAACAAATACTGCGTAATTGCATCGTAAACTCTTTCAAGCACAGCTTGTGCTTTTCCTTTTCTTCCTCCTTCTTTTTGTCATCCTCTTTCCTCAACTCTGAGTACCAAGCCAGGTTTTCTCTGACAGCAAGACAAATAGACGTAGGACTTAGACACATGCTTGGAAAAACCCACACCATTGTCCAGTCCTTCAGCATTTGGCTGTAAATGTACAATTTGGAGGTGTGTGCACTATCATTTTTGAGGCAGAACTTTATTTCTCTGTGAAATCCAGAGCATACTGATATATATGCACATGATGACTGAAAATGTTGCAGGTTTTGGTCATTTAGTTTGTGTGTATTTTTCTTTTCAGCTGCTTTAGATCTTTTTTATTGCAGGCAGAAAGTGATGGCAGCAGAAGCCGAAAGCATAAAGATTAATTACCTTAAGTGCTGGCTGCTTGGCGTGGATGTAATTGGGGTGTGGTTTTTGGGCAGGCTAGGCCAAAGCTCCTTCTGACTCATGAATGACCCGTCCACAGTATGACCTGATCACTCGACATGCATAAACCATCAGTGGATCTACAGGGCTTCTACAATACATTTTGCATTCAGGGCTCTTGATAATGCTCCATCGTGATCTCATCAGGTTTGTGCATACCTAAAACAATATTGGATCTCTCACATGGGATCACGATGGAGCACTGCATTCTTGGTGCAAACCAGAAGATTTCTCCAAAACCTGGCAGGGAGCGTCTTCATTCTTTGCGATTTGGTAACTGGGCGCACAGTGCTTCCTTTGAGGTTTCTGAATTTTTGATAAGTATTAATGAGCATGAGAAAACTGATACTTGAAACATCCCTTACCTGTGTTTTTTTGGCATAAATATCAAATCCATATTGTTGTTTCATGTAAAGAAACTCTCTTCATAAGATGCTTTATGAGAACAAAGCTTCTAAGTTTACATACTAAATTAAGATGATTTTTTTTAATCAAAGAAAATATTGTCCATTTCCCTCTGTTTACCTTCAAATATACACACATTTTATAACACAGCACGCATACCTCGAATGCAGCATTTTGTTTACCTGAACTAGGAGTCGAGGTGGTGTAAAAAGCAAAGCCAGCTTCCCCAACTATGGCTCTCTGCAACATTTCCTCCCCCCCTTTTACAATAGAAGAGGGCTTCCATGTGTGTGGCAGTAAGGTCAGTGAAGGGGGCCTGAGAAGGTGAAGGTCAGATGTGCATCAAAAGTGTAAACACCATAAAGACCCCAGATAAGGAGGGAAGGGGGACATGTGAGGGAGGCCAGTCTAAACTGTGCACGCCCAAAAGAGCACAAAAACAAGAGCAGAACAGAACACGGACGCAACATTGAGGCATACTGTATGTCTTTACCGCCTTGTGTTTTGAAAGAAAAATACAATTTTATAGAAATATTTTTTTTTGCTGCTGCATACTCTTGTACAAATGACAAATTGAGGACCTGAGGGAGTTTAGTTGCATTAAAACACAAGTTGCAGTCAATTAATTGGCAATAAACTGAATTAAAATTCACAGACAAGCTACCTTAACTCATAAAATCTATTTGTTTTTGCACTGAAAGCTTCAAGAGCCGCAGAGCAATCAGCTCTTCTGTTTTGCTCTCCAAATCTCTCTCGAGCAGAGCTTTTCCTCCAAAATGGCAAGAATTTTTACAACGAACATTCCCTCACTATTCTAGTCTATTCCACATTAGACAGTTATGCGTTTTGTACTTGCCGGTTTGGACAAAGAGTACAGACTACTCAACAATTAGCCTCACACCATAAACCCCAAGGACACATGTGCAAAGTTCACTGTCAGCTACAGACTTGTTTACGCCAGCTTTACATTCTATCTGCACCTGAGACGTAGCATGTTCGGAGTCTGCCAGCACCTTCAACATGTCTCAAAATGCATTTATTTAACTGTTCATTCATGTGCAAAAAGCTTGTGGCGAACTGTGTGAGTGTAAAGCTCATGTTTGTGGGGAGTCGATTCTTGTCCTGTGGCTTGGCCTTTGTCCAAGTCTGGCACCAACTCTGGATCAAGCCGTTCTCCTAAAAGGGGGAGTGGAGGGGAAGCGGGGGAATTATTTTGGCTCCACAGCACGCATGTCAGACATGCATCCCGGCCCAGCCATTTTGTGTCCTCAGATGCTCCAGGCTTTCACAGTGTGCTGGCCTGCTCTTTGGAAACCAAGAGAGTGGAAATCATAAATCAGAAACGACTGACCCACTAAAAGTATGGGAGTCAGTATTTGTGGCAATGGCGCAAAGACATAAATAACTGACACAGTAACGAAGCTCCCAGTGAAAATACAATCTACTGACAGGCGGATTTAACTACATGTTTTTACTGTGGTGTAAAACAACAGTACAGGATGCACAGAAACATCAGCTAAGATATGTTGGTTTTCATGTTACAACCACCCATCAGAAGATTTGTATTTAAAGTATCATACCATACAAACTAAAGAATTTCAGATATAAACAAACAAACAAAATAAAAATAAGATGTTACTGTAGGGAAAAAAATCACTTTGCTAAAATATTCACTCCTCTCCACATTTTCTCATATTGCAACCACAAACTCCAGTGGTTGTAATAGTGATGCATAACTTTAAAATGAGCAGGATGCAAACTAGATTTCTTAGAGAAAATTAGAGAACAAATAGCATCAAGAAGACCAACAGAGAAAACTAAACAAAAGCTACAAGTCATGTAAGATCACAAAAACTATATATTGCAACAATACATATTACTAAACAAGGAATCCAGACCGAGTTGATGGGAATACAAAGCGAAACGCAGAGTAAACCAGGAATAAAATATTTTAGACAACGACTAGGCATTATCAAGACTATGCAGAGGTTCAATTTCCAGTAGGAGGTTGATCACAAAGAAGAAAGCCAGATGTATAATGGAATGTTTTTAATCAAACTATATTCATATATTAAAATGGTCAAGTTAAAGGCCAGCTCTGAATCCAACTAGAATTTACAGCAAAATTTCTCCATCCAACCTGACTGAGGGTGAGAAAGCTCAAGATGTGAAAAGC